GACAGGGTGATTGTGATAAGTGTGACAGGCAGGGTGAGTGTGATTGGCGAGCCACACTGACACACCTCGAGGGATGCTGATCTTGAAGTCCAGCTCCCTCTCCTCCAGGTGTGCACAAGCCACTTCCTGAAGCCGCGCTCGCTCCACCTCCGACAGGCTCTGTATGGGGACGGGCCTCAGCTTCACGCCGTGTGTGAGCATGCCGGCCCAGGGAGGGGTGCTCTGAGGGAGAGAGGGGGAAGAGGGGGTACAACGAAGACGATTCAGAGCGCGGCGAGAAATCAGACGAAAGAAAAACAACCATATACACTGCCTGGCCAAAAAGAAAGTTGACATTTAAATTTTTTGTTGGACCGCCTTCAGCTTTGATTATGGCGCATATTTGTCATGGAATTGTTTCCACAACCTTATGCAACATCTCACCCTTTATTTTAATCCAGATTTGCATTTATTTATCACTGAGATCCTGTATTGACAAGTGAGTTGAACCACTTCATAAAGCCTCCTTTATCACATACCCAGAGACCTTCAATGGGGTTAAGGTCACAACTCTGTGGTCATGCGTGAAAATGACTCCTCATGCTCCCTGAACCACTCTTTGACAATTCGAACCCAATGAATCTTGGCATTCTTGTCCTGGAATATGCCCAGGCCAACAGTGAAGAGAAAAACCCACTGATGATGGATGGAGGTGTAACCCGGCCATTCAGTAGATTCAGGTATTCAGCTTACTTCACTTTATTGCTGCATAACGTTGCTGAGCTGTAATAATGATCCAGTCATTGTCTTTTAAGTATTTGCTGATTTAAATTCAAATGGCAACTTTTTTTTTGACCAGGCAGTGCATGTAGGACAGTGGTCTGCAACAGTATGGTTTTACCCGAGTTGATGCCTGAGCTCTTCCACCAGGGGATCAAAGGACCAAGCTCAGGTTCACCTGAAGCTACTTTCCATGTGCTGAAGCTTAAATCTTTGCTCTATCACCTGAGCAATTCAGCTCAGTCACTGGGCCTCGGCTAGAGCAGGGAGCCACACCCATGTGACCGTCACTGATGCAGCATGCTGTTCCAGATCGAGAAGATCAGTGGGGCAGCTGACAGACGGCACAGACTCCTAGAAGAGGAGGCTGGCAGAGCTGCCTGCTGTCAGAGATTGGGCGTGTAAATAGGCCGGACTGTGCGAAAAGCTTTAATCGTGTTTGGGTGGAACTCTGGGGACAGTGGATCTGTACTAATGATTAGGGAGCAGCAAAGTGCCAAGGTGCAAACCAGCAAGCCCTGCCCCTCCCAAACCTCCACTCTTCATCAGCGCCTGGCTTCTCCACTGACACTGCAAGCAGAGGCACAGTGACAAGACAGGCAGGGCAGGCAATGGCCTGGGGCCCCTAGCTGGGAGGGGGCTCCCGAGGGCGGCCAATTACATAGCACATCGCAATGACAAATCTGCTTTATTTGTGTATTCTGTTTTTCACGAAAGTGAAAATTACGTAATTAAGGTCATGTGTGTATTAAATTATCTTTGTTGATATTAATTTACACTTCAGAGTAAAATAAAGCTAATAAATGTTACCATGCCGGGGAAGGGGGAGGTGGAGGGCCCCATACAGTTTTTCGCCTAGGGGCCCCTTAGGCCCTAGAACGGGCTCTGCCTGCCAGTCACTGCTGGCTGTATGTTTCTTTCCCTATTGCATACAGTATATTCTCCTAGAGAACACCACACAACAAAGACTGAGTCACATCCCGTCATGGGGACAGTGTCGAGCACTGAGGGGCGGCTGGTCAGTGTGCCGTCCCTCGTTTCCAGCTTCAGCTCTGTGGCCCCTGCATCCTGTACAAGTCTTTCAGCGATTCACCACAGCCACACGCCTCTCGGTTGAAACAATCTGAACCTGCCAACTCGCTGTGGAGGCAACCCGAAATAAGAACATAAGAACATAAGAAATTTACAAACGAGAGGAGGCCATTCGGCCCATCAAGCTCGTTTGGGGAGAACTTAACTAATAGCTCAGAGTTGTTAAAATCTTATCTAGCTCTGATTTAAAGGAACCCATGGTTTTAGCTTCCACTACAC